AAGTACAATTTTTGATAATTTTTTAATATTAATTAATTTTGTAAAAGTGTTTTTATTTAACTTTATGAATGAAAATTTATTATTAAATTTTTTATGTTTACAAATTCTAGATTAATAGATTTACTTTAAAATTTTAACTTTTAAAATCAGTATAATACAAAACAAGTATAAATTAATTAAAAAAACTACAAATAATCAATAATTAAGGTTTTTATAATTTATTTTATAAAAATTATACTTTGGCTTAAAAATGATGAAATACTTAAAAAACACTTAAATGTGTTAATTGAATAACATAAATTATAACAAAAACATGAAATTACTAGAAATAACGAATTTATAAGAATTTTATAGAAAAGCTGTCTATGTTTTAAATATAGTATCTAGGTTTCAAAAAGAAACTAATACATCTATTAAAAATTTTAAAGCATTTAGTCAATTGTTTTTATAGTCTACCAAACAATTAAAAACAATTAGTCTAATTAAATATAAGTTTGTACAATATAATTTCAATTTAAAAGAGTTATTTAGGATGTTTAGAAAAATTACTTAAATATTTTTCTATTGTTTTAATGAGTATTATAAAATTGGAGAAAATATAAAAAGTATAAGAATATTTTGTTAATAGAGTGGCAGAAGAAGATTTTAGTATCAAAGATTAGATGGTTTTAGATTAATAAATATAGTTGTGTTTCGATTAATACCCAAAAAAATTTTAGTGCCACATGATTGGATTGGCGCACCAAATTATATATATAATTTATTAATAAAATTTAAAAAATTGAAAACAATAAACAAATTGTAATTTATGAGACATAATAAGAAATATTAAAGATATAATAGTCTTTTGTAACTTTTTTGAAGGAAAGTGGCCGTCTTAAATTCATGATTGACAGACTTTGTAAGTTTTGGTGGCAGCAACAGACTCACTGTAAGGTTAAGAAAGAGAATCAAACAGGTGTACTTCTTTCTTTAATATAAGTCGTTTCGAAGAAATATACGTTTTTGAAAATATTTTCCTTTGTTATTGAGAATGTAAAACTCGACTTGCTAAACTTGTCTAGACATTAATAGAGCTGACCTTTCTTTTTTTGAGGATAGGACTGTAAAAATATTATGTTTGCTATTTAGATTAAAGGGAGTAAAGCTGTAATCAATTAGACAAATTATATAATGTTGAAAATTTATGATTATATCATGAGTGGAAACTAGGAGGAGAAAGAAAATTCATGTAAATCAGCGAATTTCTATTTAGAGGTTGCCGAAAGTACAACCATGGTAGACTTCTCTTCGATGACAATATCAAGATTGTTGGTGATACAAGGCGTAAATTAAATTATGGTGAATGTGTAAATAAACCATAGTTTTGACATAACTAAAGAAGAAACTAGGAAGATTAAAATATTTGTTATGAAAAAGAGAGACTGTGAGACTTTTCCTTCTTTTTACTTGAACATATAAATGAAAAAAGTTTTATTAATAATGATGGCTTTGAAAACTATTCCAATCTAAATACTGTGATAAACCACTATAAGATCTTTAATCATATCAAAAATTTATTGATTCTGAAACTTGTTACCACATTCAATTAATAAAATTTTTTAAGGGTTAAGCGAAATTGAAGATAATAAAGAATAATATAGGAGTACAATGTCAATGTTTAAAAGCTATTTGAGGTTTTTCTGCTTCCCTTTTTTACATAAAAAGAATCCTTTGAAAAAAATTTAAACATAATAGAAAAAGATTAATTAATAAATATTTTTTAATATTCTAAAAATTATAATTATTTAAAATTTAATGTGCCAATCAAATCGGTGTCTAAATATAATATTATAAAAAGAATCACTGATATAATTGATATAGATAAAAGATTTGCAATATATTGGCAAATACAGAAGGAAGAAATAAATTTTTAAAAGATTCAATTATAAAGTTAGTTGAGCTATTCCATATACAAATAATAAATGACAGAAAAAAATGTTTTATTATAATCAAAACAAAACAATATTAAATTCTTTAGCTCAATTAGAAGAGTCATTTTCTGAATTAAATAAATAACGAGAATTCATAGAGTCTTTGTTTTTTGTTTTAATAAGATTTTTGAGAATATTTTTAACGTTGATGAAAGAATAAAAAGAGTAATATAATAAATTATTTATTAATTATCTATTTAACTGTTATTTAACTTTTTATATTTAGTTTTTGATAATGTTTTCATAATTTAATTTGAATTAAAAAGTAATAGAACTTAAATTTTTTTAAAAAATATTTTTTATCTTTTTAAATTAGACATGATTTAATTATTTAGAAATTATGAAAACATTTTATTAAATAAATGTTATTTTATAAGTCATTTTGATTTTAAAAAATTAAAATTAAAATAAAAAGAAAAAGATTTTAAAAACCCTTATATGAGACTTTTTAATTTAATGATTGATAACGCAACTTTATTTCTACTGAAAAATAACATGAAATACCTATTATGCAGTAATCAAGATAGTAATAGTGCTAAAGAGGATGAAAGTATTCAAGATAATAATTCATCAGAATTAAGTTCTTTAAATAATACTAGTTGTAATGAAAAAATAAAGGAAGATGATCAACCTTCAATTTCTACTGTAAGTGATATTAAATCAGAAAAGGATGAAACTGCCAAAAAGAACTCATCTCCTAAAAATGGTTCAAATGAAATTTCATTAGAAATGCTTGAATATTACTGGTCAACTGATTTAATAGATGATATTGAAGAAAGTAGAAAGAATAAAAAAGACATTAAACAACTTTACTTTAATAGGTATAAACATCACAGATGGTATGAATTGATTAAGTTTAAAAAAAATGTTCATCGTTTAAAGAAATCTAATAATAACAAAAAGATTTTACGTCAATTAATTTTTCTTTTATTTAATAAAATAA